GCAGTTTCTTTGTAATTTTGCCATTTTTCACCTATTCAGCACGACAACAGAGATTAAACTGCTGTGTACTTCTGGCCATGCTGACTAAGACAACCCTGAGAAAACCCTGCTTCCACATTTCCTGATCTCTATGCAGCTTTGAGTAACCAGAGATCAAACAATGTCCTCTTTCAGGATACTAGACAGACAGAAGTACCTGTACTTGAACCCCACTAAATGTCTCTTGCAAGCTATGTAATTACAAAACACTTGTCACACCTTTGTTATTCTACATAATCTGATTGAAAGGAAATCCTGCGACAAAGTGGATAGTGGATATACACAGTCTGAATTAAATGAAACCTGCGTACATGTGAAGTATCTTGTGTTTGTGTGACCCGGGTACGATTTCCTCAGAGAGAGCTTTATTTGACTTTAGCTTGCTGGTAGGAGGGTGGGAGATGTAGAGGTTGGCTTTGTGTTTTCAAATTCAATTGTCCACTACGCAGTGAAAGAGCCTGAGCTTCCTGTGGTTTGCAGTAATAAACCTAAACTCGGGTTACATCCAAGGCACAAACGACTGCAAACAGTCAGGAAAAAAACACGGTGACGTGGACCTGTAATATGGTTATGGCCTCGAGCTACAAGACCCTGCAAGACCTAAAGAAAGTGTCAAAAAGTTCAGCCTCTGAACTCTGTCCCTGAACTCTGCCTGGCTGTGGTCTGGACTGGTGGAATAAAAACAGCTCTGATGAAGAAAAAGCGGATCTTCCAGGGCCTTCTAGACCTCCTTGTCTCTTCAAAGTGAGTAAAATTGGGGTCTTTAGTCTTGGTGGTTTACAACAAATTCTCTGGTCCAACCCCAAAATCGAGATCAGCTTGGCAAAGAATAATAAGCAGTGCAATTACAACACAGGGGCCAGATTATTTATACAAAATAATGAATTTGTTTCTATACATGCCAATCATCTCACCCAAAACGGGGGTTTATTAATGTAGATTTTTTTTTTCGCTGGGAGCCAAGCACTGCAGTGGAAGCATGCATCCAGTCCATGAAAATGTTTGAGGCATGTGGAAAGCTTACACCCAGCCCGTGTTGATACAAAGTGATTAGTTTATTATAGAAGCCTGAGTACATGGTTATTTGCTTCCATGTTGTAGCGGTAGCGCGAGTGAGATCCGGCCAGGCGTCCTGACACTTAATGACGACACGGCCGCAGAATCTGAGAAGGGGAGGCGGCGTGTGGCCACAGATATGCCACACGGGACGGGAGCACCGTGAACAAGGGGAATTATGGGTGGTAGGATGATGAATGAAGTTACTCATCCTTCCATTTTTTGTTTTGTTTCTACAGTTTGCAGCCCCCCACTGCCGGTCTGTCTTCGGCCCTCGTGCTTATTGCCACAGTAACCCGAGGCCGGGATGAAAGCAACCCCCGCGGCGCGAGGAGTTTTCTCTCTGAGGGTGAGGAGTCTCTCTCTCCTGCTTTCTTTAGGGCATGTACACAGGGCGCCATGTTTTTGAAAATAACAAGAACAGGTTACAATACTATCATTTATGTTTAAATTAGATTGACAGAGTATCAAATATGAGGAAACTCGATTACAGCTCTATTACTAGCTGAATTGACCTACATGGATCCGAGGGCAGAGGTTCACACCAAACAAGGATAGAGGTTTCCTGCTTACCCGAGGCTTGTTCTTATTAAGTTAAAGGGGCCTGGTGTGATTGATGGGTACACATACAGGCCTGCTGCTTCTGAGGATGTAGGTGAGCCTCCGTGTTGACAGGATCCATAGTATTTCCTGATAGGACTCCCGAATATGTTTTTACTCTGCACATTTAACACTACGACCATTCAGGTAGCCTCCTCAGCTTGAATATTATTTAATATAAAAATACTCTGCCAGGCCCACACAAGAAGGTTTAAGGACTGTCAAAGTGAGTCAAGAATGGGGGGGTGGGCTGACTCCTCTGTAACCCAGTGGATGCTGAGGCCTGCAGCAGGTCACACAGCTCAAAACAGATCAGGGTCCTGAGACAGGACGCTCCAGTTGCCTGATGAAATGTCAAAAGGGTCTAAATGCAAACGGGTGCAACAGTGTAAACACAAGATTCCACATAATCAAAGTGTTTCCACCTGCAGTGACACAGCCATCAGTTCTGGGCACGCCGGTCATTACCTCACAGTCTCCTTGTGGTAACCCAAGAGAGGCCAGAGCTCGGCTTCGGCTAACTTTAGAGGAGAAAGAGCGGGAGCAAAGGGACATTTTCCGCTACCTCACCTCAGAAAGTAAACAGTGAAACAGTCCGCAGACCTACAGGTGCCTCCGAGTCTTTTTGTCCAGAACACGGAAGGTCGTCCGGAGTAAAAGGAAAGATACGTTTGATTGTGTTTGTTCACCCCAAGACCTGAGGGCCCTGTCCAAGAACTCTGTTAAAGTGAACTCCGAGAGGGCCTGCTGCATCTCTCAGCATCACCCAGCCCTATCACTTTCTCATTATCACAGGGCTGACAGAGGCTTATGGCGAACATATTAGTTCCTCACTACAATATACAAGTCAGGTGCTTGTGGCGGAGGATGATCTTTCCAATCATCCTCTCACTCTCTTCTTCGCTCTCATAAGTCAGCATGGCAAAACAATTACCTGATAGCGAACCGGCAATGAGCATGACAAAGTGAGTGACGTCTGGAAACCCAACACCTTATGAAACGATGCCCGACGTCTCGTAACATTTTTACACATGACAGTATGACTGCTCTCCTGAGGGGCTCGTCTGAGCGCTAATCCATACGGCTCGCCGCTGCGGCAGGCGGAGGAGGAGCAGGGAGACAAGACTCGTGTTAATGAGAGCCAGATCTGCTCTGTTAGCTTAGCGCCTGGCTGAACGCTCAGACGCAGACAGCGAGACAGAAAGCAGCCCATCGAGCTGCCCCTGCAGAGCTGCTCACAGGCTTCTGAGGCAACAAGGTGGGGCGGGACACCAGAGATGGGGAGTTTGGCATGTTACTACGTCTGGATGTGCCAAAGGGTGTTTAGTCCTCCCTTCTGTCTCCACAACAGCCTAACTCCATTGCAGTTTGTTGTTGTTGCTGTGCAGCTAGGGGTACTTGGAACCAGAATACTCTCAGTATTTCACTATCAGTGAAACATTCTGTCCTAAAATGAAGCAATATCTACTGCCACTAGTTGCATATATTTGTGAGCAAAACATTATCTGTTGTAATTACCTGTATTTGTATCTGTACACAGAACGGGCGTGGCTTAAATTGGATAAGGGTGTGGCTTCAACCAAAAGTGGGCAGGGCTAACCTGAAGTTGTTCATTTAAACCTGAATTTGATGCAGCTTGATCAGAAGTTGCTATACAGAGCAGCTTCAGAGTGAGAGAACTATTTACAGAGCAAGGATTTTTAAAATGTTTTGTTCCCAGAGATCGAAGCCCCCTGACTGTTGTCTACCTATTGAGATGTCTTGAAAACTACCGGATGGTTAGTACAGATGAGTTTGGTACAGACATTCATGTCCCCCACAGGATGAACTGTAATAACTTTATTTTCATGTAGCGCTATCATCAGGCCAGATTTTTAATTTGTCCAATACTTTAGATTTATGACAAATATCCATCAGCCTCATCTGTACTTTGTGTTTAGTGCTACTTAGCAAATGCTAGCATCCTAATATGCTAAACTTAGATGGTGAACACAGTAAACGTATGTATTAAACATCACATTGTCATTGTAAACACTTTGTATGTTGATGTTAAGAAAAATGAATAATAAATTACAGGGATTTAAAAAATCTAACATTAGAGGAACATCTGAAGAATTAAATACACTTCTTTTGTGGAACATATATATTCTTTAATGCTGCCCCCCAGGATGGATTTTTATAACTTAGTTGGGTTAACTTCTTTCAACTGCCCACAGGAATGGGACCCCAAGGTTGGGAACCATTGTTCTATGTTATTCTTCTGAAACAATGTCTAATTCAACTTTGCTGATGAGACGAGTGCAATATACAAAATAACTTTTTTTGTCTTAGAGTGGAACTAAAAAACTCTAAACTAACAATGCATTGCAACAATGTTGTCAACAATCAATCTGAAACGGAAACATTTAAATCATTAACAAGCAAAAATGCCAACCATTTGCGGGTGCCATATTCTCAAATTTGATTATTTCCTTCTATTGCAGGATGTTGGTGGGCAAATCAAGCAATTTGAAGACGTCATCTTGGGTGGAGGGAACTTTTTTTCCTTTTGGATGCAATTCTGCATGAAATGACATTTCCAGTGTACCAAATAAGAAGCATTGTTCAGTTTTATAAAGGTCAGTAAAGGGGGGATTTATGAATGCTACCACACACTGTCCAAATTCTCATGATGTGGCAGTAAGAGGAATGTGAATCGACCCGCTTTGTAAATTATTCTCAGAAAATATAGGATCAGTCAGCTCAACCCTCGGAGTAGCTGATGTTTTTCCAGTGTAGGCACGAGGAAACAGCAGCGCGGCAGCTCAGCACATGGTTGGACCACATGAAGGCATTATTACGCTGTATGCCTCCGTTGTTGTTTGACTGAGACATATTTCCAGACGGCTGCCTGGACCGCGGCAGGAGATGAGGGATATGCTACAAGGGAAGAGTCCTCGCTCTCGCTGCCAGCCCGACCCCTTTCATAATCGCCCAGGAATTATGCACATCCCAGTTAAAGCACTGGTAGAGTGAGTTATGGCCGTGGTGGCGTTTCCTGAGAAGTCTGCCAAAATAGATGATTTAGATAGATCACACATCTGGGGTCTGAGGGTTCCTCGGACACTGTTTAAACACAAGTCGTATTCTGAGGACAGAGGAATGTGCAGGGCGCTGAGTGAAAGACCCATCACCTAACAGTGACATTTCCAACATGGCAACAACGACAGCTGAAGAGTGATGACTAAGAAAGACTTATTCTTCGTTTGGCTCTTTAAGTTACAGATTTTAACAACTCTGACACAAAGCTCGGGGCCAAAATATTCACTTAAAAAAGAATTTTATTTAGTTTATTACATAGGACAGCTTGTAGTGAAATATGTATACATTCAGCTTTACAATTCATACAGGAATTATCCCACCAAATTCCTAAAATGCACACAATTTACAAAGGTATACATGTTCCAACATATTTCTGAACACAAAAAGACAGCTATACCAGTTTAATGAGTAAAAGCCTACTTCCTTTTTGTTTATTATACCATTAATTGCAATGGTAAACCTGTATGCAATGCTTTATTTTCAGCTAAATATAAGTTAAAGTGTTTATAGTAAAAGAGCCCCTGAAGGCCGTTCACTGGACAAACAAACATAAAATGGCACGCAGAGTTTCCCATGCAATTAAAAAGAGATTAAAAAAATTCAATTTGTGATAAGACATGCTTGAATCCATGTCCTTTTCACCATCCCTGTTTCAACATCTCAGAACTACATCTCCCAGAACACACATCAGCACTCGAATACTACAAACATGGTCAGAGGTCAGGGGTACAGTACATTTATAACTGCTTCTGGGATACAAACACAGAGATAGGAGTACTGCGAAATCCATTAGCAATGTGGAGCACACAGCTTTTTCTTTTGATTTTCCAAATTCAGTGGAAACACCCTTATGACTCACTGCCCCGTCTAATATTGAACACTTTTCCTTTGTCTCTGTCCAGTCAGAGGGATGTATATGAAAGACCGTAGCAGAGCTAGTGATATTACTGATATTATCTGTCTGAGCGAGGGAGTGCCAGTAAGTCGCACTCCATTAAAGCAACTCGTTACAACAAAGGCGTGCAATTTTAAGAGGTTCCCTCTTCTTTGGGCACCCAGTGGAAAGCTTGCTGGTGCCAATCTCTTTGATTTATGCACTCTTCAAAAACACACCAAAGGTTTGAAGTCCAAGTCAATAAAAGTAGTAAACGTCATTCCAGACGCTTGGTAACTCTATTATATTCTGGAGAAAAAAATGAGGCAGTTGTGTGGACAACAGAGACACATGATCCAAACCTTCGGCCGAGAGTGCTGAGATGGGATACAAGATGGCTTGGCTTGATAAGCTTCTCCATAAGCAGCATAATGTTCATAGAGTCTGAGGGGCAAGATCGGGATCAAGCGCGGGACGGAGTGGAGGAAAGACAAACACTGGAGGAAAGTCGGCCCTGCATTGATACACATGTGCTCGCTAAGGCAAGGTGCTCCGAGGGCAATAAGCATGCTGGAGACGAGAGAGAAACCCTTGGTCAAACTGCTTTCTTCCATTCTCATTATCATACTTCAGAGCTTTAGCCATATGCCTGACTAACTTTGGTTTATACTTCTGGACTCATTTCTGCTCACTGCTAAAATCCCAAGTAGGAACTGAGAACGGTTAATATTTTGACCAAGGGCCTCGAAACTGCACAAAACTGTAACTCAAAATAAAACAGAGGAGAGAAAAAAAACTCACTCAAATTCCATTAAGAGGAAGGCTGAACTGCAGTTTGCATTTTAGCGCAGCGTTATTACTAGAAAGTGTGCAAAAAGTAGTGTGTGTGAACACAGGTAGAGCGCATGGACGGTCGACCCTTACAGCTGAGCGGAGAGGAGGCAGTCAGACCTCCACTGCCTTCATGTCTGAGGAGGGAGCTCAGCTCAGGACAGCACACAGTGGGAGGGGTGTGACACTGTGTGGTATTAATGGTTGCACCTGTGTGTGTGTGTGTGTGTGTGTGTGTGTGTGTGTGCGCTCCGCGATATGTGTGCTTTGTCCTAGACCAGGGAGCAGTTAGCCGGCCGCAGGATCCGCCTCCCGCGTCTTCGTCGGTGAGCTGGACCCCTCGACCGTGGCTCTCACTCTGCCATAAACCGGGAGTCTGGATGATCTTCTCCACCAGCTCCTCAAATGCACACTGGACGCCGTCCCTGGTCTTAGCACTCGCCTCTGGGAGAACAGAGCGTGGAGGGAAAAATAAAAAGAAGAAGAAGAAAA